GTTCAAATTTTAAAAAAAATAATTTTTGCTGAAATTTATCCAACAATTGTCAACCTGCTTTATGGCAATGATAAGTCTATGGCATAGGGATAACATGGGTAATGCTAACTCTATGGAAGTAATGTTATTTCAATGGGATAATGCTTTTTCTACGGAGATATACTAAATGAATCTGCCATAATAAATATAACTAATATTTGTCAAAAACAAGTAAAATTCTCAAAATTACAATAGTGAAAATATTATAATATTATTGAAAAATTTAAAATCTGTTGATGCATTTCCCGAATTTGGTTAACGCATAGCATCGCGTGTGATCCTTGTTTTTAAAATACATTAATTATTTCTTATAAAAAAGTAACCAAGAGCAAATTTACGGGATTTAAATAGAAACAATATTATCTAATAGATAAATATTTTAGATAAAATATAAATACGTGTTTTTATTAGATCTAAGTATAATTTTGGATTTTTACGTTACATTATAATTAAATAAATGTCTATTAATTAAATTTCTATTATTATAAAGTAATATTAACATTTTATAATTTAAAAGTGACTACAAATGTTAATGTAATCAAACTGTAAACAAGATAATTGTAATAAATATAATATAGCATTAACTTATTATTGTTAATTACCGTATTATTGTTTTTTATTTTATACTTTTGTAAGTGTGAAATAAATTGCTATAATTTCAATAAATATATGTTGAAATTAATTGTTATTGCTATATAAAGTAATTGTAATTGTACGTGATTAACTGCAATTCTAACCACAATTACCGCAAGATTAAACACAATTTCAATTAAATTCAAACTATAATTCAAACAATTTTATTCAAATCTCTGCCCGAATACAAAATACACTTTAATTAAAACAATACAAGACTTTATAAAATTCAAATTAAAGGTCAGATAAAACATTAAAAGCAAGTAGAATTTTATGACTATTATAATTGTCTATAATAACTCTTTAGAATTATAAACTGTATTTTAAAATATAATTTGCATATCATAATGTATGTTAAAATGATATTCTTGATCAAGTGATAACATAATTATTATATATAATAACTGTTTACCACATTGTATCATCTTTACATGTATACATGTTTATAAGACTATTACAATTGGCATAAATTTTATAACCATAATTTAAAAATGTATACTTTATATTAATATAAAGTTTAGTTATTATGTTGACGGCCAAATAAATTTGCTAAAAAATAATTATCGATTTCATTCAATTTGCATTTATATGAGTTCAAATTTTAAAAAAAATAATTTTTGCTGAAATTTATCCAACAATTGTCAACCTGCTTTATGTATTTATTATTTTAATTGAAAAATTAAATAAAAATAATGTTTAATGTAATTAATAAATATTGTTAAAAAATTTTCTTAAATTATAATCAACAATAAGATTTAATATACAATACTGATTTAACTGTAAATTAGCAACTACAATTAACCTCTAACTTAAAATTTTACTCATATTTAAGCATTAAAATTTCAATCATTCAAATTTACAATCATTTTAAAATGTTATTAAATGCTATGTTATTAAAAACCAACATTAATTTACTATTTTATTACATTTTATTGAATTAAAATTGCAATCCATTTCCAATCACTACATACACTAAATGTTATTTACTATTCAGTGCTGTTCCAACGGACCTAGCTCCTTAACGGATAATCCGATTTTTGTTCTCTCTTCACTAAATTAAAGAAAAACTCCCCAGAAGTTATCACCTTGAATGTTTTTAATTTAGTCCAAAAATTCAGAGAGATAATCACAATAAAGTCCATTTTTCCAATTTTTGTCATAGAGATAACGTTAAATTCAAACTTATTTTTAAAAAAAATTATTTAACATATTTTATGTAATTTTTGATGCTGATTCCGAATATTAAACTAAAATTTTTGTATCTTAAATATTTTTCGAGTTAGTTGACTAACTGTATTTATAAATAAATTTTAAATACAAAAAATCCAAAAATTATCAATTTCATTTAAAAACTATTATGATGATATTAACAAGCAAACTATTTAATGTTGATCAGATTTGTTAAATCTTTGAAAATTCATTTTTTAAATTTTCGATAAAAACTAAAATTTGAATAACTCGAAAAATATTTAAGATACAAAAATTTTAGTTTAATATTCGGAATCAGCATCAAAAATTACATAAAATATGTTAAATAATTTTTCTTAAAAATAAGTTTTAATTTAACGTTATCTCTATGACAAAAATTAGAAAAATGGACTTTATAGTGATTATCTCTCTGAATTTTTGGAATAAATTAAAATCATTTAAGGTGATAACTTCTGGGGAGTTTTTGTTTAATTTAGTGAAAAGAGAACAAAAATCGGATTATCCGTTAAGGAGCTAGGTCCGTTGGAACAGCACTGAATAGTAAATAACATTTAGTGTACATGTATATCACTAGTATTGATTCACTACATACAGTCTATATATGAAGGACTGAGTGCAAGACAGCCGTCCAGTTTTAATGTTGTCTTTACTGCTATGTCTATTGTATTTGCTATAGCAGTGCATAATAGAGATAGCAGTAAAGACAACATTAAAATTGGACGTTTGTCTTGCACTCAGTCTCTCATATAACAAATTATACAGTATTCCCATACTTAGAAATGTGGTGGGAGTTACTGTAACAGTAATACTGTTAGCTTAAACTTGCCCATAAATGTTTTTTAAGTCATGCGCTGACATTCATTGTTTTACGACAGCGTTATGAGTTTCAATGTAATGCAGACTCGTGATATGTTTTACTTTGTTCTGATTGGTCCATTCTTCTACCCTTATAAGTATGGGAATACTGTATAACATACTGTATATAAGGCAGTCAATTATGTTTTTACTGATTTTACTTATAAGTAATCACAGGTTAATATCAGGCAAACTTTATTTCTAGATACATAATCTGTATATTAAGCATTTATTCCTTGTTTAAACTAAATAATTATATCAAATTTAATTAGCATTTACTTAGTAGAAAAGATTTAGATCAATTTTTATTGTAAAGTCACAATCTTGCTGAAAAGTGCAAACAATGAGTACAACAAAGTCTGGAAACGATGTAGTAATCAGTGGTATCGCCGGTCGGTTCCCGCTGTCCAACAACACCGACGAATTGGCCCGCAATCTGTACGACGGCGTAGATATGATCACCGGTGATGATAGCCGATGGCCAGAGGGTATGAATGGATTCAAATATATAACAGACATTTACTTAAAATATGAATACTATTGTTAATAAATTATAAAAATTTGTAAAAAATAGACCGAGAGAAAGTGGCGATTACTCTGGAACCATTAAGGTGACAATATTGAAACTTTACACATAAATAGATCAACGTCGGGAAATATATTTAGCTTTGAAAATTTTTTAGTCACGTGACTATTTTTTCGGCAAATGGAGCATTTGCAAGATTCATAGTTTGTGGCTACCGTGTTTATCACAGGGAAGGATGGGGGTTTAGGTTGGATAGAGCTAATGTCAAAGTGTTATAATAACCAAGAACCACCATTATTGCATTGCACGTTTTTACATGGCAAGTGAACAAAGTAGACCAACTTTCTCATGTTAACCTATGGGAATGAAAAATAATTTTATATTTCAATATAATTAATTATATTTTTAAAAACTACATTAAATGCTGATAATGGTAGTAGAATAAATTTTTGAAAATTTTCATTCCAAACACAAAATATTCTAAATTGAAATATTGACTTTTTAACCACAATTCAGTATGAATAATGTGGTTTATAGGATCGTTATGCCTTCCCTCCCCCTCCCTCACCCTATGGAATTTAACATATGATTACAGCTTAAGTCTATGGCTATACTTTAACATGGGTAATNGGATTACAGCTTAAGTCTATGGCTATACTTTAACATGGGTAATGCTAAGTCTATGACATAGGAATAACCTAGGTAATGCTAAGTCTATGACATAGAGATAACATGGGTAATGCTAAATCTATGGCATAGGGATAGCATGGGTAATGCTAAGACTATGGCATAGGGATAACATGGATAATGCTAAGACTATGACATCTGCTATAATAAATCGAACTAATTGTTGTCAAAAACATTTAAAATTCTCAAAATAATAATTAAAGCCTTTCATATCATGCAAATGCATGTTTTTACCGGTTAGTTATATATGTTTAAGACTTTGGGGGCAAACGAATGACATAATAAGGGGTGTTTTGAAGAACTTTTATTTTGCATATAAATGCATATTTGGCTCATAAATGCATATAAGTGCATATTAGGTTTCAAAGCATAAAAAAGCATTGATTTGCTTGAAAATAATAACTAAAATGTCTAATCTATTAGAAAATTTACAATTATTTAAAATTAATTGCATAATTGGACCAAATATTAAGTCATTAACAAATATCTATCTGATTAACATTGTATATTAGTGTTAAAATATTACCTATTGTAGTTTTGGCAATTATTACAGCATTTAAAAATAAGCCATATATTTTTAATTTATATTTAATTTGTAATTTAGAATATTTAAATGAATTTTTAAGGCCTAATGACCATTTTCATCATAACATTTCGTCATTTTGCTTATAAACTATATTAAATAATATTAATATCGTATATTAACAGAATTATAAGTGCATATTTGAGTGCATATTTGGCCACTTTTTAGTGCATATTATATGACATATTTGAGTGCTTATAAATGCATATTTTGAAAGGCTTTAATAATAATAGTAAGAGTATTCTAACAATATTAAAAAATTTAAAATCTTTGATGCATTTCCCGAATTGTGGTTAACGCATAACATCGCGTGTGATCCTTTTTTGGGCTAAAACTCAATATTTCAATTTCGAATATTTTGTGTTTGGATCAAAAATTTTCAAAAAATTTATTATACTAACATTATCAGCATTTAATGTAATTTTTAAATATATAATTAATTATATTAAAATGTAAAATTATTTTTCATCCCCATAAGTTAACATGGTAAAGTTGGTCTACTTTGTTCACTTACCATGTAAAAACGTGCAATCCAATAATGGTGGTTCTTGGTTATTATAACACTTTGACATTAGCTCTATCTAACCTTAACCCCCACCCCTCCCTCTAACAAACACAGTAGGTTGTAAATATAAGTCTCGCAAATCATCCATTTTCTCATATAAATAGTCACGTGATTATAAAATTTTTTTAAGTAAAATAATTTCCTGACGTGAATCTATAAGTGTATGAAGTTTCAATATTATCACCTTAATGGTTCCAGAGTAATCGCCATTTTCTCTCGGTCTATTTTTTTTGAAGATCTTTATACATGTCATATAAATTGATTTAATAAAACAAAGTGACATAAATCTAATGCACCAGGTACGTTTGATCTGAATCCACGGTTTGGCAAAATACATGATTTCAATCAGTTTGACTCGACTTTCTTTGGGCTCCCGGAGAAGTTGTCGGAAGCGGTTGACCCACAGGCCCGGATGCTACTCGAGGTTACCTACGAGGCCATTGTTGATGCCGGTCAGTTTTGTTAAATCATTATGATTACTTTCTGAGCAATTAAATTATCCATTTTACAGACACTTGATCTCAGAGAACACTTCATGTAATACACTTTATTACTAACACTTTAGGTGTTATGCAAAATATTGATTATGATTATTTTGTTAGGTAGCAATTAATGTTCTTTGTTGAAGCATCATTATAAGTTTTCATTTATAATTATTTATAACAAAAATTTTAATATAATAAAGCTTATTTTACAATAGTTTTAAAACACGGATGATTTATGATGTTTTAATTAAAACAAACCATATGGTATATTTTAATTGTATTGTTGAATACAATGTCGTACATAAATAATAAGCCAAATGTCACCAAATATGCATCAATGGTTATGAAACTAGATGTTTAACTAATATAAATAATTATAGAATAGTCATATAATAAGTTGAAATAAGAGAAATGTTGCATAATTCAAATTTTAATATTTGCCAGGATTTGTACAAATTAAACTTTTAATAATTACACCATCATAATATGAATATTATAATGTCAGACACTTTTGGATAGGTTCTTATTTGTTCCAATATCTTCCCCGCCTCCCTTGAGAACGTTCCTTTGAATCTTTGAATGTACACAATTAATATTTGTACAAATTTATACAGGGATAAGTCCGCAATCACTACGTGGTAGTAAGACTGGTGTATACGTTGGTGTCTCAATATATCCCATGACTGATGGCTATCCCACCGATATTCAGCCAGATTTAAAGCAAAATTTGCAAAATGTTACAATTCAGCACCTCTCCAAATTTAAATCCCTTTACGCCAGTCGTATATCATTTGTGTTTGATTTCAAGGGCCCATCACTATTGGTGGACACCGCCTGTTCGGCCAGTCTATCGGCCACTACACTAGCTATGAATGACATGAGACTCGGTATGCGAGGCATCACTGAAACAATGCATTTAATGTTTAATATGTGATAAACAATAGGAAACATCAATACGGCGATCGTTTGCGGCACTCATATGCTGTTCGAGCCATTCGTACTGCAGTTTCAACAGGAGTCGGGTCTGTGTTCGCCAAGAGGTGTGGCCGCAGTCCTCGACCAAAGCGCCGACGGTTTCATCAAAGGCGAGGCCGTGTGCTGTGCTTTCCTACAGCGCCGGCGCGACGCCCGGCGTATGTACGCCCGTGTGGTCAACGCCAAGATGAACATCGATGGCAATAAGACCACCGGAATGTTTTTCCCATCGGCCGACGCACAGGAGGAGCTAATGATTGACACTTACAACGAGGTCAATATCAATCCGCTTGACCTCACCTATTTCGAAGCTCACTGTACTAGCACTACGGTACAATTTAGAAATTCAAATTTTGTTTTATTATTATTAAATTGATTTTTAAAATATTAATGCAATCAATTGTTATAAATAGGCGGGCGATCCACAAGAAATAAAGGCCATATATAATGCCTACGTTAAAGCTCCGGGACGTACACAACCCCTGCCGTTGGGTGCGTTGAAGAGTAATATCGGCCACTCGGAGGGCGGTTCAGGAGTGGCCGCACTCATTAAAGTGTGTATTGTATACGAGAATGAGTGCATTCCTCCCAACCTCAATATGAAACAACTGAAAGATGAATGCCTTCCTTATTGTCCGCCTATAACGCCTATTGTGGAACCGATGCCTTATAAACCAGGTTTGTTTTTGAATACAAATATGTAATACTAAATTAAGATTATCGGCAAATTAAATATACAAATGTCATTGTGATTGATAATATCAATTTTAATAAATTATTTTGCACGCATGTTATGCTAGGGTTGGCCGCAGTGAGCAATTTTGGTATCGGCGGTGCGAACGCACACGTATTGCTCGAACCCAATCATATGTTGGGAACCAGTGATGGACTGAGAATTGCGGAAACGATTCCCAGAATTGTTAACATTTGCGGCCGAACTGAAGATGCGGTCAAATATGTGATGGATTTCATACAAGACAACCCAAAAAGGGTGACGAATGACTTTTTGGCACTTTTGGCGCAGACTATGAAATACACGCCTAATGTTAACTCATCGGGAATGCCATTCAGGGGTAGGAATTAATTGTATTAATTAAAATGGTTATTATTTTAATAATTTAATGGATTAATTTTGAACAGGTTCACTTCTAATAAAAAAGGTGTCGGAAAGTAGTAATAGTATTAATTATGAATACAAGAGGCAAATAGGCTTTCAGAAAGGCACAAGTGCTCGACCCCTATGGGTACTGTTCCCGGGTTTAGGCGGTCAGTGGCCAGCAATGGCTGCAGCTTTGATGCCAATCAAGATATTCGCCGATAAAGTGGAAGAATGTCATCAAATACTACACGAATTCGGTGTCGATTTGAAACACATGTTGTTATCAGAAGACAAGACATCGATGTCTACAATGACTGCAAAGTTCTGTTCGACAACTGCTATAGAGATAGCGTTGTTTGAAGTGATGAAAGCGCTGGACATCACACCCGACGGCATAATTGGCCACTCGTTTGGAGAGATAGCCTGTGCTTACGCTGACGGCTGTCTCAACACAAGGGAAGCAATGGTCGTCACATCAATCCGAGGAATAGTCACAGAAAATAACAAAACTATACCCAAAGGACTGATGGCTGTCGTGGGGTTACCCAAGTCTGAGGCCCAAAAGTTGTGCCCAAACGGTGTTTACATCGCATGTAATAACGCTAAGAATAGTGTCGTTATATCCGGTAAATTAATATAACTAAAATTATTGCAATTTTTAAAAGTAAACATAACATGACGTAAAACACAGTGATTGATGAATAAAATACATGTAAAGTTGATGAGATTATTGATAAATATGTTTAAGTGTGATTAATAATCACTGATTATGTTCACTGAAGCAAAACATTTTCACATTGAGTCACAAAATTATGAATTTTATTTCTAATTATATGTTAGTTTTGCAAATAATTTTTAATACTTTCAAAGTGGGTAAGTCGGGGGTATTGGGAATTATCTAGTATTTAACCCATTTTTAATTTTCCAACTGATAATCAGTTGACCAATTGGAAGTCATGTTACAATTAATTTAAATAAAAGTTATGAACTAAAGGGTGTGTCATATATATCTCATGATTGCAAATGCATTACAAAAGTACATAAAGAATTTGTGACCTAACCTATTTCTGGAAATTGCAAGTGTAGTAAGATAATACTAATTCTGTAGATTAACCATTATTAAAGCTTCGATTTTTCGGGAATAAAAACATGTGAATTCGGGAGTATACATGGCAAAATCGGGAAAATTCGGGAATTACGTTTTTATTGGATTTTCACATAATAATTATGTACTAAAGTGATTGTCAAAAGGTTTATGTGCACTAATGAAGCAAAATAATGACATTTATTAAAACAAAAATAATGAATCAAATAAATATACTATAAATGTATCACAAATTATGTGAACTTTTAGCAAGAACAATGCTATTCTTTCAGCAAATTCATGAAGATTTTAATAGAAAATCCATATTTTTAAAGATTTTTTCTTAAAAATAGTTCATTTTTGGGGCATCTGATATAAAATAGACGCTTTTCGGGAGTTTTCCTAACAATATACCAAAATCGGGAATTTTTTTAAAAAGTGCCAAAATCGGGAAAAATCGGGAAAATAAAACTAATATATTTTAGGCATATTATGACCCCTACAGCTAATGGTATGCAATTCCCGATGATTTTGTTAACTATTTTTTTCGGGAATTTCCGAAATTTCGAAGCCTTAACCATTATATATAATTTGTTAATTCATTATAATATTTAATTTTTCATTATCATATTCTTCCCTGTAATTTTATTATTATGTTAACTTTTTCCATTGGATTTCATTGAATAATTAACCAAAATGTGAATATTTTTGATAAGTTTGAATATTCTGGTTTAAATTCTACGGATTTTGGAAAAAGCAAATACTGAGTAGGAGAATATAAAGTACAGGTTTTAATTGTTTGAATACATCCGAGATTATTAACATCGGTCCACAAATTCTTGATCCACACATATTTAAGATAATATACTCTTGTAATGCTTTTCAATGCAAATATGCAATCATGAGATATATATGACACAGATTGTACTGATGAGTATTGGCTGATCAATAATTTTACAATGTCTTGATTGATTAAAAGTCAAATTCACCAAGGTGAGTCAAAACTTATCATTGACTCTAAACCTAAGTAAGACTGTATAAATTCAAACAACTAAAAACAACTACTATAAAAATGAATTAAAAAATATACCATAAATTTCATTTGAAAACTATTAGAACATAATTTTCTCGAAATAAGACATTCAAATTTGTTCAAAAATAAGAAGTAAAACTGTAATAATCGGGGAAAGTATAATCTTATTTTGGCACTTGGCGTCCAAAGTTTATATGAAATTAATGATCTCCCACTGTAAAAGAATATTTAAAAAATGTAACACTCCGTTACCCTGGAAAAAATTTACCCTGAATGAGTGAACATGTAAATATACGCTCCCTCTGTGATATATCTATAATATAATGTTTATATGTTTACTCATTCAGGGTAAATTTTTTCAAGGTAAAAAGTGTAATATACTTCTTGATAATACGAATAGTGCATAAAAATCTGTTTCGGAAAAACGGCATATGTTTTTTATTACATAATAATTTTCGGTCAAAATTTTATCAATTGTGTTACTATATCTATATTTTAAATTTAATAAGTAATTTTAGATAAATATCAAGCAGATCAGCCGCACGAATAATTTATATATAGTGGCTACCAATTTTAATCTATAGGGTGTGTCTTTCCAATGTTAAATTCTCAAAATGGAGCTAGCCATTTTTAACTGTTTTAAATTAAGTTATCCCATATAATAATTTTTTAATTTGATTGGTAATTGTCATAAAATGAATTATATTTAATTTGGTTATTTTCGTCAAGTTTAACGTAATAAGATTAATTAATAATTAGTGAAAATAGGGTCGGATTCTACTTTTATAACACAACTATCAAAATTAATTTTATTGATATTTAAAATATACATTTTATGTGGATTTTAATGCTGATTACGAAAATCCAATCAAAATTTTTATAACTCGAATAATTTTCGACTTATTCGACTTAAATTTTTCGAAATATATTAAATTTTGTTTAAATTATTTATATTCTATATCAAATCAATGTGAAATTTAACGTTATAAATAGTGTGACCAACTCTGTTTTAGACAATAGTGTACAAACTGATAAAATTGAGGGTAAAATAGTGTACAAATAGTGTACACATTATTTATGGTCAATTAATACAAATCCCATTATATTAGTCACAAATAATTTATTATTTTAGTTTTTAATAGAAATATTTTCCAAAAGTGTACAATAGTGTACAGTCTGAAAATAGTGTACAGAAGTCTCAAATAGTGTACTGTACACTTCAAAAGTGTACGGTTGGTCACACTAGTTATAAATGATTATGGAATCCAAAAATTTTTATCTCAAGTATCTTTCGACTTATTCGACTTAGAACATGATTTTTGAAAAATTTGGATTTTGTGTAAATTATACATATTTTATATTAAATCAATGTGGAATTTAACGCTGAAAATGAATATGAAATCTATTTTCAAGTCTCATTAAACACTAAAAAGTTACACGACTTTTACATTTATTTTTTAATTTTAGACGTAATTTTTGAAAATAATTCCAATACTTAAAAATGGATTTCATATTCATTTTCAGCGTTAAATTCCACATTGATATAATATAAAATATAAATAATTTAAACAAAATTTAATGTATTTCGAAAAATTTAAGTCGAATAAGTCGAAATTATTCGAGTTAAAAAAATTTTAATTTGATTTTCGTAATCAGCGTTAATTTTCACATAAAATATATATTTAAAATATTTATAAAATTAATTTTGATTTTTGTGTTATAAAAGTAGAACCGGACCAAAAATAGAAGTTGAACAAATAATTTACATGATTATATTTTTATAACTATAATTACTAATTATAATTGTAAATTAAATTATTTGATGTATCATGAGATATATCATTTTAAAGCTTATTTTTCGATTGTCAATTTTGTACCATATTCACTAATTTAGATTTAATATTATAGTTACAAGTACAATTCAAACCCAATGATATTGTGCTCGATTTTAATGCACTATTTGTATAACATTGATACCACTAACTTTAATAAAAGCGCTATTTTAATTTTAAAAATTTTACTCAATTTTTCCCATTTTTTGTTGTAATAGTCTGTTTAAACTTATCAAATGCGCTCAGTCCCCCTGAATCGCTGTGCGATAATGATAAAAAATTATTTAATTAATTCAATGCTAAATAAATACACAATTTAATACTTTAAAGGCCTGGAAAAAGAGATGAAGCAAACGATTAAAGTCTTGGCTGACAAAAAAATATTTTTTCGTGTTAATCTCTCGTCATTATAACGGATAGTAAGTTTTATGTAGGTTTGGCGACGGGTTGGCAACTAGCTGCGGTAGTTATTTGTATATGGCGTAGGTTTCGGCGCGAGGTTCTTTACCAACAGGTGAACACTCATGAGCGCCGACCCGACAGAGCAGGCCTTGCGGTACGCGTCGGGCGAGTATTTTGCCCATAATTTGGTAAACCCTGTTCAATTTTACGACCGCATTAAACAACTGCCGGCCGACGCTATTGTCTTAGAGATCGGTCCGCATTCACTATTCGACAAAATAGTGAGCGAAACACTCAATGAGTCCTCTTATGTGTCGCTCATTAAAAAGGAATCAAATGATAAAAATATGGATTTATTTTTGTCCGGTTTGGCCACTCTGTACGAGTTGGGCGTTAACCTGTCGCCGCATAAGTTGTACCCGCTGTGTGAGTGGCCGGTGGCCAGAAATACGCAGTCGATTAACTCTTTGATTAAATGGGATCACAGTTCAGTCATTCCGCGCCGCATATATCCGGAGCGCTATAATCGCGGAAACGCCGCTGACATGAATGTTGTCGTCAATTGTAGCATAAAAGAGGATGAGTTTTATTTAGACCACTCCGTAGACGGCAACTCTATATTCCCGGCAACCGGCTATTTAATGCTGGCCTGGCGTAAACTGGCGACCGATTTGGGCAAACTATGGCACAGCGTACCCGTTATATTTGAGAATGTTCATTTAAAAAGAGCCGTATTTTTGACCCAGGAGAATAACATAATTCTTAAAGTTAAATATTTTCCATTAACAGGTTAGATATATCATTCAGTTTTAGTATAATGTGATTTTTAAAATATAAGTGCATATCATAGTTAAGTATGCTGACTTATTAAAATTAATCTAGGTGAGTTTGCAATATACGAGAACAAAAACGCATGCGTGACAGGCAAAATCCGTGCGCCGGGCAATGACGTGCTAATAGCACAGCAATTGATTTACGAAAACGAATCTAAACTATCTGAGAGCCAATACTCGATTAAGAAGCACGATATATACAAAGAGTTGGGAATTATGGGCTTAGACTACGGGTCGGCGTTTCAACGGCTCGACAAAGTGGGCACAAATGACTTCAACGAGTTTTACGGTGAGTGCGAATGGGACGGACGGTTTGTCAGTTATATGGATGCGTTGCTACAATCGCGTGCCCTATCGGTGCCCTTTCGCAAAATGCTGTTACCGGTGATGATCCGCAAGTTAAGGCTCGACCCGCACCTTATGTTTGACGCTATAAGACGACACAAGATTCAAAAAGAGGAGACGACCGGTAGGGTTGATGACCCCGACGACAGTGTTAAATTGGCCTTTGATACTGCCGGTGCGGGCGTCGGCAAAGTCTACGACTTGACCGGCGAACAGAGCACCGTTTCAACGGTTGTGGAGAGAAAAAAAGTCCGATTCACCGAACGTTTCGCCCAATACTCGTCGCGAATACCGTTTTATTACAATTTGAATACAAAACAATTGGTTTCTCCCGGCGTTGAACTCGAAGAGGTGGTCGTATTACCCGTACCCCGACGTACGGACATTACTGGTTTGGTCTTGGATTCGGCCGAGTTCTGCGCCAACCATGATAATCACGCCATCGATGACTGCCTATCCGTTGCTTTATCCAAATATTTAGAGGTAATTAAAAGATTTTTATATAACTAATGATATAATGACTAAATCATAGGTGTGCAATTCAATGTCAGCCAAAATAAAGCAATTATGTGCTAAAGAAATGAAATGCGATTTTAATTATCAAAGATTTAATGATGAAGTGCTGCAAGAATTGCGGAGCGAAAACACTGAAAATCATGTAATGTTTCGTACATTTGATAAATTATTGGCAGAAGTTGTCGACAAAAATCGTAATGAATTGAACGATAGAGAAGTTGCAAAGATGTTAGATGAAATACAAACAAATAGTGAATACGATTTGAGTAAAGATTTGGTGAATCAGATCCAGAAGAATGAACGTATGATCAGAGTATTAGTGGACATTGTTTGCGAAAATTATGTAACAAATAGTGATATAAATATCACTGAAATTAATATGACTAACAGTTTTATGGCCAAAGATGTGGAACAGATTGTTACATATTTTCGTATAAATCCTTTTGAAGTTGATTATAAACTGATTGTTAAAAGTAAACAATCGGTGAATGAAATGTATAAACAAAGAGCTACTGAATGGCAGCTTAAAGATAACATACCATTAAAACTCTCGCATTTGGTTATAATGAGAGACTCACAAGACTTATGGCAAATAGATTTGACTAAATTTACTCAAGACCTGTTTGACTCCATAAACAGCAATGGATTCCTATTATCTATATTTCGGTATAAGTTTACAGAACCGGAGATTGCGTTCATGTCTTTGACGAAAAACTCAATTTCCACTAATAATGAATTGGATTTAAGAATCAAAAAATTTGTATCGATTGCCACAAAAACTGGATTTAATTTAATTGCAGGAAAAAGCGATACAATCGGTACTCAATGCCTAATGTTTAGAAAAATCATTCACAAACCTAAAGTACCTGAAAAATATAATGTTATCAAAATAACTGGTGATTATCAGCAATGGTTTGGATTATTGCAGACAAAACTGATCGCCGCTAAAGAGGCGGACAATAAAACCGATAACGTATGGCTCGTGTCTCTGGATTCATATATCAATGGAATCATAGGTTTAATGAATTGTTTGCGATTAGAACCGGGCGGAGAGAACTTCCGGTATATCTTCCATATGGACACCAATAGTGAGACAAACATTGATTTTAATACTAAACCTTATTCTGATATATTGGCCAACGATTTGGTCGCAAATGTATTCAAAGGGGGAAAACTGGGAACTTATAGACACTTAAAACTTTCCAATGATTTTGATAAATGTGTTTCAAATGATTATTATCTAAACTCCGGTACAACAAAAGACTTGGCGGGTATTCAATGGTATGATTCCCGGAAATTACCCCAATATAAAAAGTATTGGTATTTGAATAAAGAAAAAATTTTCAAAACACGGGTTGAGATATACTGTTCGGGCATTTCATTTCACGATGTTATGGTCGCTTCGGGTAAGCATATAATTTGCTATATTTTATAATATAAGATAATTTATTAATTTGCGAACTATTTAACACGATTACTAAAATTATATTTTACAGGTCGTATACCCGCCGGACGGGACCACCTGTTTTCCGATTGTGTGATTGGCTGTGAATACGTGGGCCGTCGCGTGGATACCGGGGAACGGGTGATGGGTATAGAATTGGGCCGGACTTTTGTCACATCATTGAACGCTAGCATTCACAGCATGACTACAGTTCCCGAGCACTGGTCGATGGCAGACGCGGCCACTGTATTGCTAAATTATAGCACTCTGTATTACGCGCTCATCAAAAGGGCTAATCTTAAAACAGGTTTGTTTTAATATCACACAATTTTACACTAATTAATTTGAATTATAATTTTATTATATAATTCAGCAAATATTTACATTAATATTTAATTATGCATAAATGTATTATAATTTTCAATTAATGTGTCAACAAGAAATGTAATAATTTAGTTTCAAATCTTTTTAATACTTAGCAAACATTATATAAACAAGGATCACATAGCGATGCTATACGTTAACCACTATTCGGGTGATGCATAGGATTGGCACTGTCCATATGATTAGCATTGTCCATAGACATAACATAAGTCCATAGGATTAGTATAATATTAGTCCCATAGACTTATCATTGTCCATAGACTCAGCATTACCCATGTTATCCTTATGTCATAGACTTAGCATTGTCCATAGGATTAGCATTGTCATAGACTTATCATTACCCATGTTAAAGTATAGCCATAGACTTATGCTGTAATCCTATGTTAATTCCTTATAGACTCAAGAATCACAAGATAAAGTATAGCGATAGACTTAAGCTAAAATCCCATGTTAAATCCCATAGAGCGGGGCCGGGTGGGTGGCCTAACAATCATATAAACCACATTCATATCAGAATAGTGGTTAAAAATTAATCCAACTATTCAATTATTGATTAATTATATATTTAAATGTAATAATGTTATTTGTAATTGCCCAGGTGAAAGTATATTAATACACTCAGCGGCGGGAGGTGTAGGTCAGGCGGCCATCAATATGTGTAAGCATTACGACTGCGATATCTATGTGACGGTTGGGACGGAAGAGAAGAAACAATTTTTGATGAATGAATACAATATACCAGAGAATCGGATCTTCAACTCAAGAGATATTGTATTCAAGAATCAAGTGTTGAAACTGACTGAAGGAAAGGGAGTGAATATTGTGTTGAATTCATTGTCGGGCGAGAAGTTGGACGCGTCCTACGAGTGTGTGGCCAATAGTGGCCGCTTTGTTGAGATCGGTCAATACGACATGCTTCAAAACAAGCAATTGGGCATGCTTGATTTCGTACGCAATATTCAATTCATCGGTATTGTTATCGATATCGTTATTAAGGATGAAATTGATTTTTTCCCCGATTTCTACGATTGGGTTCACAAGAACTGTACGAATGGTTGCGTTAAACCAATTAACTATACATTGTTTGAGGCCAAGTATGCGGACAAAGCGTTCCGTTATATGACAACCGGTAAACATATGGGAAAAGTTGTCATTAAAATGAGAGACGAAGAGATGGATAGGCGGCCATTGAAAACGATAAAACCGGCCGTAATTATGAATACAATGATTAAAACATTCTTCGATCCAAACAAAGTCTATATAATAACCGGAGGTTTCAACACTTGATTCTTGAATACAATATCTCTTGAGTTGAAGATCCGATTCTCTGGTATATTGTATTC